CCCCCCCGTCTTGAATTTCATAAACTTTCGCTGACAATCTGCTTGTGACTATTAATGCTTCCGGATAGAAGAGGGCATGGCAAGTGCAAAATTTAACCTTGGCCAGGAAAGGACCTCGGATCTTACGATCTGAATTGTAGCAAGCCACATCCCTCACGATATTCCTTTTGGTATTACTAACGTTTAAAAGCCATCAATCAATCGTCTATTCAATTATGAAAACTCTGAACTTTCTACAAAAGTGCAAAATTAATTCAAAACATCTTTAAGGTCATAAGTATAAGTATAACTTTCTTTTAACACGAATCATTGATGAGCAAAAAGATGCTCGTTACAAAAATGTACTAAAGTAATATAATTAGAAACTATAATATGATAAATAAATAAATAATTTCAGAAAATATATATKAAAAAAAAATACATGCTATATATCCGAAATATACAGTCTAAAAATATTGCAGATTAAGGGCTAATAAAATCTATTATTGAAATGACGCGGAAGGCGTGAATCCAGCGCAGAAGGTGCATTTGCAATTAACTTCGGTATCACAGTCATTATCCTTTGACTGCCAACGAAATAAAGTAAGAGCTACCATGTTTCGTTACTGGATCCAAATGTTGCAAGAGGTCATATACAAAAACCAGTTATGCTGCTCCTTCAAATTGGTATTTGAAGTGATATTTACGGAAGAGAAAGGGAAAGGGAAAGGAAATACGCATGCGCCTTATCTACAAAGTTAGTTAACAGTTTCTCACTTGGACAGTTGCGTGTATTGCATTTTCTGGTTGAAACGTCTGATCCCAGCCTGTCGCAGTCTTTGCCTCCGTTTGCCGGTGATGGATTGGTACAAGTGCGCCTTCTAGTTTGTTTTCCTCCACCACACGGTTCACTGCAATCACTATACGATCCCCAAGCGGAGTATCCGCCATTTACTTCGGAACGTAAAAAAAAACTATTATTGACCTAATCGTGCTGGTGTCCTTGAGGAGGAAACTCCTCTTGAAATAAGGGGGAGGGGGTGTGAATTTTCTGAAGAAACTGTGGCGCTTCGTCGGTGGGTGTGTATAACAAGACAATTTGATTTTATCAACTGAGTTGGTAATGTAAATTGGCTACCATAAAGATTTTCAAAGCTGACGTTTCGAGGGTTAGTCCGTCAGGTTTTAGCCCTTTGCTCTGAAGAAGGGCTAACGCTGGAAATGTCAGCTTTACTCCTCTTGAAATAACTGCTACAGTTCAGGGCGATAATCGTTTGACTGAAAATTGGATTGTTTGAGAGAAAGCTTGCGGCTGCGTGCAATTCTTCAATCCCTTTGATGTTCTCACTCTAATAAATGTTATTTTTCCGGTTAATCTCTAAAACATGGAATGGGAAGATAAGAAATGGGATTTCGACAGAAAAGGTTTATGCGTATACCTGGACAGCCTCCATCATTGCANAAACGCACTAACTATATGAAGGAAAACAATGTTTACTAGAAGGCATTAATGGGCTGATAGCCTTTACGATGAGCGGTTTAAATTTTGGCCATTTAACGCGGGCTAACGGTAAACCTAAAATGACACAAAATGACACGTTGTTGAAAGGAAAAATGTTTACGGCTAGTTTCTATACGTCTAACGGCTGAATTGTTTGGCTGTTTTTTGGCTAACATTTGACACCACTAAGACCCTCCTACAGGTTAGCTATCCGTCAGTGTATAACTTAATGATAGCACGTTAAGGTAACTAACAGTTGCCAACTTGAAAATACGAAAAAGCCAACTTAAAATTACTGATGCACGCATAGATATTTAATCTTACTTGTCTTGCATCCGTAGAATTCAGCCCTCAGGGCGATGTATCGATACCATTCCTCTGGAACAATCCTCAAATAGCGCGTCCGAATAGGTTTGGGTAAATTGTGGCTGACGACTGTGTATCGGTCATTGTTTCCCGGGAATGTCTTATAAAAACAAAAGTCAACTATATCAGTTAGAAAGGTATTACGAGTAAAAAATCATTTTTGATAAACAGACTGCTGATTTGAGGTAGTTGCTAAGAACACTCTTCTCCAAATAAGCTACTGTGAAATAACAGGAAATCAGTACCAGCATCTTAGCCTAATCCTAGCTAATCTTTCAAAGAATCTTTCGAGTGAAGCCGGAGCAACCACAGAGATTAGTATACTGAAGAGGGAGAACAGCTTTGGACTCATAATTCTACAATGATGTAAAATGCTTTCACAAGAAATTTTTAGCAAGACGTGATTGGATTGGACCATGCTTATTCTTACTGTGATGATTTCATGTTATTTTAGTGTGGTAGAAATCACTGCATCGTTACTTTATGGATTGACTGCAGATCTGGTGAGCGAATTTTAAGGAGACGAAAATTCTCTCTAGTTTGTGGGGTACCTAGCAAAAATATTTGTACTTATTCTCTAATAGAAGAGTAGTTGAGCATAGCGTTTATTCGGCAAACAGAAAATTGGAACCTCTAGCTGAGGGTCTGGATGGGGGAGACTGTTAATGATTAACTTGGTAAGTTCATTATTACTTTCCGACCCTATAATTTTGGCTGAAAAGTACATATAGCGTACACTCGAAAATTTAGTCGAAACCTGGTACAGCAAGAACTGCTTTTTCTTAGTTCTAGAATGAAATAAGATCTTTCAAATGACTTTCAGTCATTGTTTAAGTCAGTTACGACTCTTCTGAACACAAACATATACAGCCCATATGTAGCGCACATATAACGTAAACTTGAATAT